AATTTTGTCACTGTTGTCACCCTTGTCACCGTTGTCACCGTTGTCACTGTTGTCACCATTGTTACTGTTGTCACCGTTGTCACTGTTGACACTTGTGCCACTGTTGTCACCGTTGTCACCATTGTCACAGTTGTTAGTGTTGTCAATGTTGTCACTGTCTTTACTGTTGTCACCCTTGTCACCATTGTCACTGTTGTCACCGTTGTCACTGTTGTCACTGTTGTTACCGTTATCACCGTTGTCACTGTTCTAACTTTTCTCACTGCTGTCACCGTTCTCACCATTCTCAGTGTTGTCGGTTTTGTCACTGTTGTCACCGTTGTCACTGTTGTCACTGTTTTCACTGTTGTCACTGTTGTCACCGTTCTCACCATTGTCAACGTTTTCAGTGTTGTCACCGTTGTCAGTGTTGTCAGTGTTGTCACTGTTGTCACCGTTGTCACCGTTGCCACTGTTGTCACTGTTGTCCCAGTTGTCATCGTTGTCACAGTCGTTACTGTTGTCACCACTGTCACCGTTATCACCGTTGTCAGTGTTGTCGGTGTTGTCATTGTTGTCACTGTTGTCACCGTTGTCACTGTTGTCACTGTTGTCACTGTTGTCAATTTAGTCACTGTTGTTATCGTTTTCACCGATGTCACCGTTGTCAGTGTTGCCACTGTTGTCACTGTTGTTACTGTTTTTAACCTTTTCACTGTTTTCACCGTTGTCACACTCGTCAATGTTGTCGATGTTTTCACTGTTGACACTGTTGTCACCGTTGTCACTATTGTCACCGTTGTCAGTGTCACCGTTGTCACAGCTGTCACTGTTGTCACGGTAGTCACTGTTGTCACCGTTGTCACCGTTGTCACCGTTAATACTGTTGTTACCGTTGTCACCGTTGTCACTGTTGTCACCGTTGTCACTGGTGTCGCCGTTGTCACTATTTTCACTGTTCTTAGCGTTGTCATCGTTGTCACTGTTGACACTGTTGTCACTTTTGTCACTGTTGTCACGAATGCCACCGTTGTCAGTGTTGTAAGTGTTGTCACTGTTGTCACTGTTGTCACCAATGTCACTGTTTTAACTATTTTCACTGTTGTCACCGTTGTCACCGTTGTCAACGTTTTCAGTGTTTTCACTGTTGTCAGTGTTGTCACTTTTGTCACTGTTGTCACCGTTGTCACCGTTGCCACCGTTGTTACAGTTGTCAATGTGGTCACTTTTTTTATCGTTGTCACCGTAGTCATCGTTGTCACTATTGTCACCGTTGTCAAGGTTGCCACCATTGTCACAGTTGTCACTGTTGTCACTGTTGTCTCCGTTGTGAAATTTGTCACTTTTGTCACTGTTGTCACCATTGTCACTTTTGTCACTGTTTTTATTGTTGTCACTGTTGTCACTGTTGTTACTGTTGTCACCGCTTTCACCGTTGTCTTCGTGATCACCGTTGTCAGTGTTGTCGTTGTTATCATTGTTTTCACTGTTGTCACCGTTGTCACTGTTGTAACCGTTGCCACTGTTGTCACCGTTGTGACTGTTGTCACGGTTGCCACCATTGTCACAGTTGTCACTGTTGTCACCGTTGTCACAGTTGTCACTGTTGTCACCATTGTCACTTTTGTCACTGTTTTCACCGTTGTCACTGTTGTCACCATGGTTACTGTTGTCACCGTTGTCACTGTTGTCACCGTTGTCACTTTTGTCACACTTGTCACCGTTGTCACCGTTGTCACCGTTGTTACTGGCTTCACCATTGTGACTGTTGTCACCTTTGTCACTGTTGTCACCTTTGTCACTGTTGTCACTATTGTCACCGTTGTTAGCGTTGTCAATGTTGTCACTGTTTTTACCGTTCTCACCGTTGTCACCGTTGTCACTGTTGTCAATGTTGTTACCGTTATCATTGTTGTCACTGTTCTCACTTTTGTCACTGTTGTCACCAATGCCACCGTTGTCAGTGTTGTCGGTCTTGTCACTGTTCTCACTGTTGTGGCTGTTGTCACTGTTTTCACTGTTGTCACTGTTATCACCGTTGTCACTGTTGTCACTGTTGTCACCGTTGTCACCTTTGCCACCGTTGTTACAGTTGTCACTGTTGTCACTTTTTTCACCTTTGTCACTGTTGTCTCTGTTTTTACCATTGTCACTGTTGTCACTGTTGTTACTGTTCTCACCATTGTCACCGTTGTCACCGTTATCACCGGTGTCAGTCTTGTCGGTGTTGTCATTGTTGTCACTGGTTTTGCCGCTGTCACTGTTGTCACTTTGGTCACTGTTGTTACCGTTTTCACCAATGTCACCGTTGTCACTGTTTTTACCCTTGTCACCATTGTCACCGTTGTCACACTTTTCAATGTTGTCACTGTTGTCACTCTTGTCACCATTGTCACCCTTGTCACCGTTGTCACCATTGTCACCGATCACCGTTGTCACCGTTGTTACTGTTGTCAGCGTTGTTACCGTTGCCACCGTTGTCACCTTGTCACCGTCTTTCACTGTTGCCACTGTTGTCACTGTTGTCACTTTTGTCACTGGTTTGACCGTTGTCACTGTTGTCACTGTTAACACTGTTGTCACCGTTGTCACTGTTTTCACTATTGTCAACTTTGTCACCGTTGTTAGTGTTGTCGGTGTTGTCGGTGTTGGGACTGTTGTGACTGTTGGCAACGTTTTCACTGTTGTCACTGTTTTTTCCATTGTCACCGTTGTCACCGTTGTCAAAGTTGTCCGTTTTGTCACCATTGTTATCTTCGTCACTGTTGTCACTGTTGTTACCGTTGTCACCGTTGTCAATGTTGTCACCGTTGTCACCATTGTCACTGTTGTCACTGTTCTCACCGTTGTCACCGTTGTCACTGTTGTCACTGTTGTCAGTGTTGGCACCATTGTCACTGTTGTCACCGTTGTTAGTGTTGTCGGTGTGGTCACTCGTTGTCACTGTTGTCACTGTTTTTCCGTCTTCACTGTTGAAACTGTTGTCACCGTTTTCACTGTGGTCACCGTTGTCACTGTTGTCACTGTTATTACTGTTGTCACTGTTGTCACTGTTGTCACTGTTGTCACTGTTGTCACTGCTGTCACCGTTGTCAGTGTTGTCACTGATGTCACCGTTGTCACTGTTGTCAGTGGTGTTACTGTTGTCAGAGTTGTCGGTGTTGTCACTGTTGTTACCGTTGTCACCGTTGTGACCATTTTAACTGTTGTCACTGTTGTTACCGTTCTTATTGTTGTAACCGTTGTCACCGTTGTCACTTTTGTCATCGTTGTCACTGTTGACACTGTTGCCACCATTGTCACCGTTGTTACTATTTTCACCGTTGTTACTGTTGTCACTGTTGTCACTTTTTTTACCGTTGTCACCGTTGTCACGGTTGCCACCATTGTCACAGTTGTCACTGTTGTCACTGTTGTCCCCGTTGTCACACTTGTCACTTTTGTCACTGTTGTCACCATTGTCACTTTTGTCACTGTTTTTATTGTTGTCACTGTTGTCACTGTTGTTACTGTTGTCACCGCTTTCACCGTTGTCTTCGTGATCACTGTTGTCAGTGTTGTCGGTGTTGTCATTGTTGTCACTGTTGTCACTGTTGTCACCGTTGTCACTGTTGTAAGCGTTGCCACTGTTGTCACCGTTGTCACTGTTGTCACGGTTGCCACTGTTGTCACAGTTGTCACTGTTGTCACTGTTGTCACTGTTGTCACCGTTGTCACTTTTGTCACTGTTTTCACCGCTGTCACTGTTGTCACTGTTGTTACTGTTGTCACCGTTGTCACTGTTGTCACCGTTGTCACTTTTGTCACTGTTGTCACCATTGTCACCGTTGTCATCGTTGTCACCGTTGTCACTGTTGTCACAGTTGTCACTGTTGTCACTGTTGTCACTGTTGTCACCATTGTCACTTTTGTCAGCGTTTTCACCGTTGTCACTGTTGTCACTGTTGTCCCTGTTGTCACCGTTGTCACTGTTGTCACCGTTGTCACTGTTGACACTGTTGCCACCATTGTCACCGTTTTTACTATTGTCACCGTTGTTACTGTTGTCACTGTTGTCACTTTTTTTACCGTTGTCACGGTTGCCACCATTGTCACAGTTGTCACTGTTGTCACTGTTGTCCCCGTTGTCACACTTGTCACTTTTGTCACTTTTGTCACTGTTGTCACTTTTGTCACTGTTTTTATTGTTGTCACTGTTGTCACTGTTGTTACTGTTGTCACCGCTTTCACCGTTGTCTTCGTGATCACCGTTGTCAGTGTTGTCGGTGTTGTCATTGTTGTCACTGTTGTCACTGTTGTCACCGTTGTCACTGTTGTGAGCGTTGCCACTGTTGTCACCGTTGTCACTGTTGTCACGGTTGCCACTGTTGTCACCGTTGTCACCGTTGTCACCGTTGTCACTGTTGTCACCATTGTCACTGGTGTCACCGTCGTCACTGTTTTCACTGTTGTTACTGTTGTCACCGTTGTGACCATTGTAACTGTTGTTACCGTTCTCAATGTTGTAACCGCTGTCACCGTTGACACTTTTGTCACTGTTGTCCCTGTTGTCACCGTTGTCACTGTTGTCACTGTTGTCACTGTTGAACTGTTGCCACCATTGTCACCCTTGTTACTATTGTCACCGTTGTTACTGTTGTCACTGTTGTCACTTTTTTTTACCGTTGTCACCATTGTCACGGTTGCCACCATTGTCACAGTTGTGATTGTTGTCACTGTTGTCCCCGTTGTCACACTTGTCACTTTTTCCACTGTTGTCACCATTGTCACTTTTGTCTCTGTTTTTATTGTTGTCACTGTTTTCACTGTTGTTATTGTTGTCACCGCTTTTACCGTTGTCTTCGTGATCACCGTTGTCAGTGTTGTCGGTGTTTTCATTGTTGTCACTGTTGTCAGTGTTTTCACTGTTGTCACCGTTGCCACATTTGTCACCGTTCTCACTGTTGTCACGGTTGCCACTGTTGTCACAGTTGTCACTATTGTCAATGTTGTCACTGTTGTCACCGTTGTCACCGTTGTCACAGTTGTCACTGTTGTCACTGTTGTCACCATTGTCACTTTTGTCACTGTTTTCACCGTTGTCACGTTTGTCACTGTTGTTACTGTTTTCACCGTTGTCACCGTTGTCACTTTTGTCACTGTTGTCACCATTGTCACCGTTATCACCGTTGTCACCGTTGTCACCGTTGTCAATTGTCACTGTTGTCACCGTTGTCACCGTTGTCACCGTTGTCACCGTTGTCACTGTTGTCACCATTGTCACTGGTGTCACCGTCGTCACTGTCACTATTGCCACTATTGTCACCGTTGTCACCGTTGTTAGTGTTGTCGGTGTTGTGACTGTTGTGACTGTTGTCACCGTTGTAACAGTTTACACAGTTGTCACCGTTATCACTGTTGTGACCGTTGTCACTGTTGTCACACGTGCCACCGTTGTCACAGTTGTCACTGTTGTCACTGTTGTCACCGTTGTCCCCGTTGTAACATCTGTCACTGTTGTCATTGTTGTCACTGTTGTCACCGTTGTCACCGTTGTCACCGTTTTCACTGTGGTTACTGTTGTTACCATTGTCACCGTTGTCACCGTTGTCAATTTTGTCACTGTTCTCATTGTTGTCACGTTGTCACTGTTGTCACCGTTGTCACCGTTGTCACTGTTGTCACCATTGTCACTGGTGTCACCGTCGTCACTGTTTTCACTGTTGTTACCGTTGTCACTGTTGTGACCATTGTAACTGTTGTCACTGTTGTTAGCGTTCTTATTGTTGTAACCGCTGTTACCGTTGTCACTTTTGTCACTGTTGTCCCTGTTGTCACCGTTGTCACTGTTGTCACTGTTGACACTGTTGTCACCGTTGTTACTATTGTCACCGTTGTTACTGTTGTCACTGTTGTCACTTTTTTTACCGTTGTCACCATTGTTGCGGTTGCCATCAATGTCACAGTTGTCATTGTTGTCACTGTTGTCCCCGTTGTCTCACTTGTCACTTTTGTCACTGTTGTCACCATTGTCACTTTTGTCTCTGTTTTTATTGTTGTCACTGTTGTCACTGTTGTTACTGTTGTCACCGCTTTAACCGTTGTCTTCGTGATCACCGTTGTCAGTGTTGTCGGTGTTGTCATTGTTCTCACTGTTGTCACTGTTGTCACCGTTGTCACTGTTGTAACTGTTGCCAGTGTTGTCACCATTCTCACTGTTGTCACGGTTGCCACTGTTGTCACAGTTGTCACTGTTGTCAATGTTGTCACTGATGTCACTGTTGTCACCATTGTCACTTTTGTCACTGTTTTCACCACTGTCACTGTTGTCTCTGATGTCACTGTTGTCACCGTTATCATGGTTGCCACCGTTGTCACCGTCGCCACAGTTGTCACAGTTGTCACTGTTGTCACTGTTGTCACCATTTTCACTTTTGTCACTGTTTTCATTGTTGTCACTTTTGTCACTGTTGTTAGCGTTTTCACTGCTGTCACCGTTGTCAGTGTAGTCGCTGTTGTCATTGTTGTCACTCATGTCACATTTGTCACCGTTGTCACTGTTGTCACGGTTGCCACCGTTGTTACAGTTGTCACTGTTGTCACTGTTGTCACCGTTGGTCATCGTTGTCACAGTTGTCACAGTTGTCACTGTTGTCACCATTGTCACTGTTGTCACCGTTGTCACTGCTTTCACTGTTGTTACCGTCGTCACCGTTCTCACCATTGTCACTGTTGTCCCTGCTGTCACTGTTGTCACCATTGTCTCCTTTTTCACTATCACTGTTGTTACCGTTGTTATCGTTGTCACCATTGTCACCGTTGTCACTTTTGTCACTGTTGTCACCGTTGTCACCATTGTCACTGTTGTCACCGTTTTCACTGTTGACACCGTTGTCACTGTTGACACTGTTGTCACCGTTGTCATAGTTGTCACTTGTCACTGTTGTCACCATTGTCACTTTTGACACTGTTTTAACCGTTGTCTCTGTTGTCACTGTTGTTATTGTTGTCACCGTTGTCACCGTTATCACCGTTGACAGTGTTGTCGGTGTTGTCATTGTTGTCACTGTTGTTACCGTTGTCACTGTTGTCACTGTTGTCCCTTTTGTCACTGTTTTTACCCTTGTCACCATTGTCACCGTTGTCACACTTTTCAATGTTGTCACTGTTTTCACTCTTGTCACCATTGTCACCCTTGTCACCGTTCTCACCGTTCTTACCTTTGTTACCGTTGTCACCATTGTCACCGATCACCGTTGTCACCGTTGTTACTGTTGTCACTGTTGTTACCGTTGCCAGCGTCGTCACTGTTGTCACTGTTGTCACTGGTTTGACCGTTGTCACTGTTGTCACTGTTAACACTGTTGTCACCGTTGTCACTATTGTCAGCCTTGTCACCGTTGTTAATGTTGTCGGTGTTGTCGGTGTTGGGACTGTTGTGACTGTTGCCAACGTTTTCACTGTTGTCACTGTTTTTTCCATTGTCACCGTTGTCAAAGTTGTCACTTTTGTCACCATTGTCATCTTCGTCACTGTTGTCACTGTTGTTACCGTTGTCACCGTTGTCACTGTTGTGATCGTGGTCACCGTTGTCACCGTTGTCACTGTTGTCACTGTTCTGACCGTTGTCACCGTTGTCACTGTTGTCACTGTTGGCACCATTGTCACTGTTGTCCCCGGTATTAGTGTTGTGGGTGTTGTCACTGTTGTCACTGTTGTCACCGTTTGACTGTTGTCACTGTTTTTTCCGTCTTCACTGTTGTCACTGTTGTCACCGTTGTTAATGTGGTCACCGTTGTCACTGTTGTCACTGTTGTTACCATTGTCACTGTTGTCACTGTATTCACTGTTGTCACTGTTGTCACTGCTGTCACCGTTGTCAGTGTTGTCACTGTTGTCAGTGGTGTTACCGTTCTCACCGTTGTCACCGTTGTCAGTGTTGTCAGTGTTGTCACTGGTGTCACCCTTGTCACTGGTGTCACCGTTGTCACTGTTTTCACTGTTGTTACCGTTGTCACCGTTGTGACCATTGTAACTGTTGTAACTGTTGTCAGTGTTGTCACCATTGTCACCTTTGTCACTGTTGTCACTGTTGTTACCGTTGTTATTGTTGTAACCGTTGTCACTGTTGTCACTTTTGTCACTGTTGTCCCTGTTGTCACGGTTGTCACTGTTGTCACCGTTGTCACTGTTGACACTGTTGCCTCCGTTGTCACCGTTGTTACTATTGTCACCGTTTTTACTGTTGTCACATTGGTCACTCTTTTTACCGTTGTCACCGTAGTCATCGTTGTCACTATTGTCACCGTTGTCACGGTTGCCACCATTGTCACAGTTGTCACTGTTGTCACTGTTGTCCCCGTTGTCTAATTTGTCACTTTTGTCACTGTTTTCACCATTGTCACTTTTGTCACTGTTGTCACTGTTGTTACTGTTGTCACCTCTTTCACCTTTGTCGGTGTTGTCATTGTTTTAACTGTTGTCACCGTTGTCACTGTTGTAACCGTTGTGACTGTTGTCACGGTTGCCACCATTGTCACAGTTGTCACTGTTGTCACCCTTGTCACAGTTGTCACTGTTGTCACTGTTGTCACCATTGTCACTTTTGTCACTGTTTTCACCGTCGTCACTGTTGTTACTGTTGTCACCGTTGTCACCGTTGTCACTTTTATCACTGTTGTCACCGTTGTCACCGTTGTCACCGTTGTCACCGTTGTTACTGTTGTCACCATTGTGACTGTTGTCACCGTTGTCACTGTTGACACTTTTGCCACCGTTTCACCGTTGTCACTATTGTCACCGTTGTTAGCGTTGTCAATGTTGTCACTGTTTTTACCGTTTTCACTTTTGACACCGTTGTCACTGTTGTCACCGTTGTCACTGTTGTCACTGTTGTTACCGTTATCACTGTTGTCACTGTTCTCACTTTTGTCACTGTTGTCACCAATGCCACCGTTGTCAGTGTTGTCGGTGTTGTCACTGTTGTCACTGTTGTCACTGTTTTCACTTTTGTCACTGTTGTCACCGTTGTCACCTTTGCCACCGTTGTTACAGTTCTCACTGTTGTCACTGTTTTCACTGTTGTTACCGTTGTAATCGTTGTGACCATTGTAACTGTTGTAACTGTTGTCAGTGTTGTCACCATTGTCACCTTTGTCACTGTTGTCACTGTTGTTACCGTTGTTATTGTTGTAAACGTTGTCACCGTTGTCACTTTTGTCACTGTTATTACCGTTTTCACCGATGTCACCGTTGTCAGTGTTGTCACTGTTGTCACTGTTTTTACCCTTGTCACCATTGTCACCGTTATCACACTTTTCAATGTTGTCACTGTTGTCACTGGTGTCACCATTGTCACCCTTGTCACCGTTGTCAATGTTGTTACCTTTGTCACAGTTGTCACCATTGTCACCGTTCACCGTTGTCACCGTTGTTACTGTTGTCACTGTTGTTACCGTTGCCACCTTTGTCACCTTGTCACCGTCTTTCACGGTTGTCACTGTTGTCACTGTTTTCACTGTTGTCACTGGTTTGACCGTTGTCACTGTTGTCACTGTTAACACTGTTGTCACCATTGTCACCGTTTTCACTATTGTCAACTTTGTCACCGTTGTTAGTGTTGTCGGTGTTGTTGGTGTTGGGACTGTTGTGACTGTTGGCAACGTTTTTACTGTTGTCACTGTTTTTTCCATTGTTACCGTTGTCACCGGTGTCAAAGTTGTCCCTTTTGACACCATTGTTATCTTCGTAACTGTTGTCACTGTTGTCACCGTTGTCACCGTTGTCACCGTTGTCAACGTTGTCACCGTTGTCACTGTTCTCACCGTTGTCACCGTTGTCACTGTTGTCACTGTTGTCACTGTTGGCACCATTGTCACTGTTGTCACCGTTGTTAGTGTTGTCGGTGTGGTCACTGTTGTGACTGTTGTCCCTTTTTTTTCCGTCTTCACTGTTGAAACTGTTGTCACCGTTGTCCCTGAGGTCACCGTTGTCACTGTTGTCACTGTTGTCACTCTTGTCACTGCTGTCACCGTTGTCAGTGTTGTCACTGTTGTCACTGTTGTCACCGTTGTCACTGTTGTCAGTGGTGTTACCGTTGTCACCGTTGTCACCGTTGTAACCGTTGTCACTGTTGTCACTGTTCTCACCGTTGTCACCGTTGTCACTGTTGTCACTGTTGTCACTGTTGGCACCATTGTCACTGTTGTCACCGTTGTTAGTGTTGTCGGTGTGGTCACTGTTGTGACTGTTCTCAACGTTGTCACTGTTGTCACTTTTTTTCCGTCTTCACTGTTGAAACTGTTGTCACCGTTGTCACTGTGGTCACCGTTGTCACTGTTGTCACTGTTGTCACTGTTGTCACGGTTGTCACTGTTGTCACTGCTGTCACCGTTGTCAGTGTTGTCAATGATGTCACCGTTGTCAATGTTGTCAGTGGTGTTACCGTTGTCAGAGATGTCGGTGTTGTCACTGTTGTCACCGTTGTCACTGGTTTTACCGTTGTCACTGTTTTCACTGTTGTTACCGTTGTCACCGTTGTGACCATTGTAACTGTTGTCACTGTTGTTACTGTTCTTATTGTTGTAACCGTTGTTACCGTTGTCACTGTTGTCACCGTTGTCACTGTTGACACTGTTGCCACCATTGTCACCGTTGTTACTATTGTCACCGTTTTCACTGTTGTCACTCTTGACACTTTTTTTACCGTTGTCACCGTTGTCACGGTTGCCACCATTGTCACAGTTGTCACTGTTGTCACTGTTGTCCCCGTTGTCACACTTGTCACTTTTGTCACTGTTGTCACCATTGTCACTTTTGTCACTGTTTTTATTGTTGTCACTGCTGTCACTGTTGTCACTGTTGTCACCGTTGTCACCGTTGTCACATCTCTCACTGTTGTCACTGTTGTCACCGCTTTCACCGTTGTCTTCGTGATCACCGTTGTCAGTGTTGTCGGTGTTTTCATTGTTGTCACTGTTGTCACTGCTGTCACCGTTGTCACTGTTGTAACCGTTGCCACTGTTGCCACCGTAGTCACTGTTGTGACGGTTGCCACTGTTGTCACAGTTGTCACTGTTGTCACCGTTGTCACCGTTGTCACCGTTGTCACAGTTGTCACTGTTGTCACCATTGTCACTTTTGTCACTGTTTTCACCGTTGTGACTGTTGTCACTGTTGTTACTGTTGTCACCGTTGTCACCGTTGTCACCGTCGTCACTTTTGCCATTGTTGTCACCATTGTCACCGTTGTCACCGTTGTCACCGTTGTCACTGTTGTCACCGTTGTAACCGTTGTTACTGTTGTCACCGTTGTCACTGTTGAAACTTTTGCCACCGTTTTACCGTTGTCACTATTGTCATCGTTGTTAGCGTCGTCAATGTTGTCACTGTTTTTACCGTTCTCACCGTTGTCACTGTTGTCACTGTTGTTACCGTGATCACTGTTGTCACTGTTCTCACTTTTGTCACTGTTGTCACCAATGCCACCGTTCTCAGTGTTGTCGGTGTTGTCACTGTTGTCACTGTTGTCACCAATGTCACTGTTTGAACTATTTTCACTGTTGTCAGCGTTGTCACCGTTGTCAACGTTTTCAGTGTTGTCACTGTTGTCAGTGTTGTCACTTTTGTCAGTGTTATCACCGTTGTCACCGTTGCCACCGTTGTTACAGTTGTCACTGTTGTCACCTTTGTCACTGTTGTCACTGTTGTTACTGTTCTCACCATTGTCACCGTTATCACCGTTGTCAGTGTTGTCGGTGTTGTCATTTTATCACTGTTGTCACCGTTGTCACTGTTGTCACTGTTGTCAATTTAGTCACTGTTGTTATTGTTTTCACCGATGTCACCGTTGTCAGTGTTGCCACTGTTGTCACTGTTGTTACTGTTTTTACCCCTGTCACCGTTGTCACACTTGTCAATGTTGTCGATGTTTTCACTGTTGACACTGTTGTCACCGTTGTCTCTATTGTCACCGTTGTCACCTTTGTTAGTGTTGTCGGTGTTGTGACTGTTGTCATCGTTGTAACAGTTTACACAGTTGTCACCGCTGGCACAGTTGTGGCCGTTGTCACTGTTGTCACACGTGCCACCGTTGTCACAGTTGTCACTGTTGTCACCGTTGTCACAGGTGTCACTGTTGTCACTGTTGTCACTGTTGTCACCGTTGTCCCCGTTGTCACTGTTGTTACTGTTGTTACCGTTTTCACCGTTGTGACCGTTGTCACCGTTGTCAATTTTGTCACTGTTGTCACCCTTGTCACCGTTGTCACCGTTGTCACTCTTGTCACCATTGTTACTGTTGTCACCGTTGTCACTGTTGACACTTGTGCCACTGTTGTCACCGTTGTCACCATTTTCACAGTTGTTAGTGTTGTCAATGTTGTCACTGTCTTTACTGTTGTCACCCTTGTCACCATTGTCACTGTTGTCACCGTTGTCACTGTTGTCACTGTTGTTACCGTTATCACCGTTGTCACTGTTCTTTCTTTTCTCACTGCTGTCACCGTTCTCACCGTTCTCAGTGTTGTCGGTTTTGTCACTGTTGTCACCGCTGTCACTGTTGTCACTGTTGTCACCGTTCTCACCATTGTCAACGTTTTCAGTGTTGTCACCGTTGTCAGTGTTGTCAGTGTTGTCACTGTTGTCACCGTTGTCACCGTTGCCACTGTTGTCACTGTTGTCCCAGTTGTCATCGTTGTCACAGTCGTTACTGTTGTCACCACTGTCACCGTTATCACCGTTGTCAGTGTTGTCGGTGTTGTCATTGTTGTCACTGTTGTCACCGTTGTCACTGTTGTCACTGTTGTCACTGTTGTCAATTTAGTCACTGTTGTTATCGTTTTCACCGATGTCACCGTTGTCAGTGTTGCCACTGTTGTCACTGTTGTTACTGTTTTTAACCTTTTCACTGTTTTCACCGTTGTCACACTCGTCAATGTTGTCGATGTTTTCACTGTTGACACTGTTGTCACCGTTGTCACTATTGTCACCGTTGTCAGTGTCACCGTTGTCACAGCTGTCACTGTTGTCACGGTAGTCACTGTTGTCACCGTTGTCACCGTTGTCACCGTTAATACTGTTGTTACCGTTGTCACCGTTGTCACTGTTGTCACCGTTGTCACCGGTGTCGCCGTTGTCACTGTTTTCACTGTTCTTAGCGTTGTCATCGTTGTCACTGTTGTCACTGTTCTCACTTTTGTCACTGTTGTCACGAATGCCACCGTTGTCAGTGTTGTAAGTGTTGTCACTGTTGTCACTGTTGTCACCAATGTCACTGTTTTAACTATTTTCACTGTTGTCACCGTTGTCACCGTTGTCAACGTTTTCAGTGTTTTCACTGTTGTCAGTGTTGTCACTTTTGTCACTGTTGTCACCGTTGTCACCGTTGCCACCGTTGTTACAGTTGTCAATGTGGTCACTTTTTTTATCGTTGTCACCGTAGTCATCGTTGTCACTATTGTCACCGTTGTCAAGGTTGCCACCATTGTCACAGTTGTCACTGTTGTCACTGTTGTCTCCGTTGTGAAATTTGTCACTTTTGTCACTGTTTTTATTGTTGTCACTGTTGTCACTGTTGTTACTGTTGTCACCGCTTTCACCGTTGTCTTAGTGATCACCGTTGTCAGTGTTGTCGTTGTTATCATTGTTTTCACTGTTGTCACCGTTGTCACTGTTGTAACCGTTGCCACTGTTGTCACCGTTGTGACTGTTGTCACGGTTGCCACCATTGTCACAGTTGTCACTGTTGTCACCGTTGTCACAGTTGTCACTGTTGTCACCATTGTCACTTTTGTCACTGTTTTCACCGTTGTCACTGTTGTCACCATGGTTACTGTTGTCACCGTTGTCACTGTTGTCACCGTTGTCACTTTTGTCACACTTGTCACCGTTGTCACCGTTGTCACCGTTGTTACTGGCTTCACCATTGTGACTGTTGTCACCTTTGTCACTGTTGTCACTATTGTCACCGTTGTTAGCGTTGTCAATGTTGTCACTGTTTTTACCGTTCTCACCGTTGTCACCGTTGTCACTGTTGTCAATGTTGTTACCGTTATCACTGTTGTCACTGTTCTCACTTTTGTCACTGTTGTCACCAATGCCACCGTTGTCAGTGTTGTCGGTCTTGTCACTGTTCTCACTGTTGTGGCTGTTGTCACTGTTTTCACTGTTGTCACTGTTATCACCGTTGTCACTGTTGTCAGTGTTGTCACTGTTGTCACTGTTGTCACCGTTGTCACCTTTGCCACCGTTGTTACAGTTGTCACTGTTGTCACTGTTTTCACCTTTGTCACTGTTGTCTCTGTTTTTACCATTGTCACGGTTGTCACTGTTGTTACTGTTCTCACCATTGTCACCGTTGTCACCGTTATCACCGGTGTCAGTGTTGTCGGTGTTGTCATTGTTGTCACTGGTTTTGCCGCTGTCACTGTTGTCACTTTGGTCACTGTTGTTACCGTTTTCACCAATGTCACCGTTGTCACTGTTTTTACCCTTGTCACCATTGTCACCGTTGTCACACTTTTCAATGTTGTCACTGTTGTCACTCTTGTCACCATTGTCACCCTTGTCACCGTTGTCACCATTGTCACCGATCACCGTTGTCACCGTTGTTACTGTTGTCACCGTTGTTACCGTTGCCACCGTTGTCACCTTGTCACCGTCTTTCACTGTTGCCACTGTTGTCACTGTTGTCACTGTTGTCACTGGTTTGACCGTTGTCACTGTTGTCACTGTTAACACTGTTGTCACCGTTGTCACTGTTTTCACTATTGTCAACTTTGTCACCGTTGTTAGTGTTGTCGGTGTTGTCGGTGTTGGGACTGTTGTGACTGTTGGCAACGTTTTTACTGTTGTCACTGTTTTTTCCATTGTCACCGTTGTCACCGTTGTCAAAGTTGTCCGTTTTGTCACCATTGTTATCTTCGTCACTGTTGTCACTGTTGTTACCGTTGTCACCGTTGTCAATGTTGTCACCGTTGTCACCATTGTCACTGTTGTCACTGTTCTCACCGTTGTCACCGTTGTCACTGTTGTCACTGTTGTCACTGTTGGCACCATTGTCACTGTTGTCACCGTTGTTAGTGTTGTCGGTGTGGTCACTGTTGTCACTGTTGTCAACGTTGTCACTGTTGTCACTGTTTTTTCCGTCTTCACTGTTGAAACTGTTGTCACCGTTTTCACTGTGGTCACCGTTGTCACTGTTGTCACTGTTATTACTGTTGTCACTGTTGTCACTGTTGTCACTGTTGTCACTGCTGTCACCGTTGTCAGTGTTGTCACTGATGTCACCGTTGTCACTGTTGTCAGTGGTGTTACTGTTGTCAGAGTTGTCGGTGTTGTCACTGTTGTTACCGTTGTCACCGTTGTGACCATTTTAACTGTTGTCACTGTTGTTACCGTTCTTATTGTTGTAACCGTTGTCACCGTTGTCACTTTTGTCACCGTTGTCACTGTTGAAACTGTTGCCACCATTGTCACCCTTGTTACTATTGTCACCGTTGTTACTGTTGTCACTGTTGTCACTTTTTTTATTGTTGTCACCATTGTCACGGTTGCCACCATTGTCAAAGTTGTGATTGTTGTCACTGTTGTCCCCGTTGTCACACTTGTCACTTTTGTCACTGTTGTCACCATTGTCACTTTTGTCTCTGTTGTTACTGTTGTCACCGCTTTCACCGTTGTCTTCGTGATCACCATTGTCAGTGTTGTCGGTGTTGTCATTGTTGTCACTTTTGTCACTGTTGTCACCGTTGTCACTGTTGTAAACGTTGCCACTGTTGTCACCGTTCTCACTGTTGTCACGGTTGCCACTGTTGTCACAGTTGTCACTATTGTCAATGTTGTCATCGTTGTCACCATTGTCACTTTTGTCACCGTTTTCACCGTTGTCACTGTTGTCACTGTTGTCCCTGTTGTCACCGTTGTCACTGTTGTCACCGTTGTCACTGTTGACACTGTTGCCACCATTGTCACCGTTGTTACTATTGTCACCGTTGTTACTGTTGTCACTGTTGTCACTTTTTTTACCGTTGTCACGGTTGCCACCATTGTCACACTGGTCACTGTTGTCACTGTTGTCCCCCGTTGTCACACTTGTCACTTTTGTCACTTTTGTCACGGTTGTCACTTTTGTCACTGTTTTTATTGTTGTCACTGTTGTCACTGTTGTTACTGTTGTCACCGCTTTCACTGTTGTCTTCGTGATCACCGTTGTCAGTGTTGTCGGTGTTGTCATTGTTGTCACTGTTGTCACTGTTGTCACCGTTGTCACTGTTGTGAGCGTTGCCACTGTTGTCACCGTTGTCACTGTTGTCACGGTTGCCACTGTTGTCACAGTTGTCACTGTTGTCACTGTTGTCACCGTTGTCACCATTCTCACTTTTGTCACTGTTGTCACCGTTGTCACTGTTGTCACTGTTGTCACTGTTGTCACCGTTGTCACCGTTGTCACTTTTGTCACTGTTGTGACCGTTGTCACCGTTGTTACTGTTGTCACCATTGTCACTTTTGTCTCTGTTTTTATTCTTCTCAGTGTTGTCACTGTTTTTACTGTTGTCACCGCTTTCACCGTTGTCTTCGTGATCACCGTTGTCAGTGTTGTCGGTGTTGTCATTGTTGTCACAGTTGTCACTGTTGTCACCGTTGTCACTGTTGTAACCGTTGCCACTGTTGTCACCGTTCTCACTTTTGTCACGGTTGCCACTGTTGTCACAGTTGTCACTGTTGTCAATGTTGTCACCGTTGTCACCGTTGTCACCGTTGTCACAGTTGTCACTGTTGTCACTGTTGTCACCATTGTCACTTTTGTCACTGTTTTCACCGTTGTCACTGTTGTCACTGTTGTTACTGTTGTCACCGTTGTCACCGTTGTCACCGTTGTCACTGTTGTCACCGTTGTCACCGTTGTCACCGTTGTCACCGTTGTCACCGTTGTCACTGTTGTCACCGTTGTCACTGTTGTCACCATTGTCACTGGTGTCACCGTCGTCACTGTTTTCACTGATGTTACCGTTGTCACCGTTGAGACCATTGTAACTGTTGTCACTGTTGTTACCGTTCTTATTGTTGTAAGCGCTGTCACCGTTGTCACTTTTGTCACTGTTGTCCCTGTTGTCACCGTTGTCACTGTTGTCCCCGTTGTCACACTTTTCACTGTTGTCACCATTGTCACTTTTGTCTCTGTTTTTATTGTTGTCACTGTTGTCACTGTTGTTACTGTTGTCACCGCTTTCGCCGTTGTCTTCGTGATCACCGTTGTCAGTGTTGTCGGTGTTGTCATTGTTGTCACTGTTGTCACTGTTGTCACCATTGTAACCGTTGCCACTGTTGTCACCGTTCTCACTGTTGTCACGGTTGTCACTGTTGTCACAGTTGTCACTATTGTCAATGTTGTCACTGTTGTCACCGTTGTCACCGTTGTCACCGTTGTTACTGTTGTCACCGTTGTCACCGTTGTCACTTTTGTCACTGTCGTCACCATTGTCACCGTTGTCACCGTTGTCACCTTTGTCAATTTTGTCACTGTTGTCACCGTTGTCACCGTTGTCACTGTTGTCACTTTTTTTACCGTTGTCACCATTGTCACGGTTGCCACCATTGTCACAGTTGTGATTGTTGTCACTGTTGTCCCCGTTGTCACACTTGTCACTTTTGTCACTGTTGTCACCATTGTCACTTTTGTCTCTGTTTTTTTTGTTGTCACTGTTGTTACTGTTGTCACCGCTTTAACCGTTGTCTTCGTGATCACCGTTGTCAGTGTTGTCGGTGTTGTCATTGTTGTCACTGTTGTCACTGTTGTCACTGTTGTCACTTTTGTCACCGTTGTCACCGTTGTCACCGTTGTCACTGTTGTTGCTGTTGTTACCATTGTCTCCGTTGTCACCGTTGTCACCGTTGTCAATTTTGTCACTGTTGTCACCGTTGTCACCGTTGTCACTGTTGTCACCATTGTCACTGGTGTCACCGTCGTCACTGTTTTCACTGTTGTTACCATTGTCACCGTTGTGACCATTGTAACTCTTGTCACTGTTGTCCCTGTTGTCACCGTTGTCACTGTTGTCACCGTTGTCACTGTTGACACTGTTGCCACCATTGTCACCGTTGTTACTATTAACACCCGTTCAATTTAATTGGGACTCGTTCAATATAATTGGGACTAATTGCTGTTAGCTGTTATTGCCTGTTATCAGCCATTAGAGCCAATCAGGATCAAGATTGTCTTTGGCTAAGAGCTAGTCTAATGTTATCAGATAACAAACCCATTAGATCCAATGGCAAGCTTGTTAGTGAATAACGGGATATAAACAGCTAATAACAGCTAATAATACTTCACCCATTATACCCAATCACAAGTTTGTTAGAGAATAACGGGATAATATGCTACATTCCACAAGTGTGAATTTGACCCGTGAGGTAAAAATCTATTTCATGACAAGTCAGTGCATCATTCTCGAGTACATACTGGAAGGCTGCACGCATATATGCACATTTGATCCATTAGCTGCCGTGAACTCATCTAAAACTCTTTTTGGTTTATTTATCATGTTTTTGAAAAACGTCAAAATTTTACCGTTTTCAAATAACCGATAGGCTTTTTAACCTAGCACCTACGAAACAGTGGAATGTTCAAGAATAGAACAAGAAAATCAGAAAATTACTTTATGATCTTTGAAGAAGCGTAGCTGATAACAAGCATGCAACTATCCAACGATCTCTCGATAATAGGTCTGTGATACAATAGTTGTGAATAGGAAACAGAACAAATCAACACTGCCCAGAGGAAGTTTATCAGTTATCAAGTGACAATTGCTGACATTCCAGCCCATTCCTGCACGCAAATTTCTTAGACAGTATACTAACACATTTATTTTCTTAAGTTAAAACGATCTTTACACTTCCCTTTATTTCACTTTGATTTAACGACGAAATCTGTTTAGAATAAGGGAACGCGTCCAAATATCGGCATCGGGTCACACCGATGCCAATCAATTGGGCACCGATTTTTTCCGATTCTGTTGAATGTCGGAATCGGCAACAGGTCTCAAGTCTTTATCGGGCCAATTAACAAAGGTTATCAAAAATATCTGGCAGCTCAAATAACCCGTCACAAAAGCAAAAGCGTGAATGTTGGTTCTCGATGCACAAACACGTTAAATTTCCAATTTAAATGTTGTAGACCAGCAGATAAAGTGTTTCTTCTTATTATTAACACTATCTTTCTTATAAATGTGTCTTGTTTGAACCGAAATTTAACGTCACAGTTTCCAACATTTGTTTGTATTTACCTATGACAGAGTATGACCAGAAAATATTAAATTTGTGTATCAAAATGAGCACGAGAAGAAACAGCAGGTCATTCAACAACGCTGAAGAGCATCTTTTGAGTGAAAGACGGCGCAATGTACATTGCAAGTGTACGATCTCAAAATGATAATTTTAAAATAGCTTGGGCCCGTGCTAACCGGAACCCAAATCGCATGATGAAAGAAATCTTTAAAGGAATAACCAGTTTAGGACTTTTAAAAGCGAAAAAAATACAAAGAAGTCAGAACATCCACGACCAAAATGCAAATGTTGTTACCATGTTGTGTTCTTTAACTGCTTAAATTGCCACAGGAGAGAAGAGGACATCGTCTGAGAATCAGGCTGCAAGTTGTTTATTGGTTGCATATGAACTCAAAAACGTGACTGATGGAGGCGCTCAACTGGTTTTCTCTTTCTCGATTCTTTTTCCGCTATTAAATTGAGTCAAACTTATCGGATGTATGCACAGTTTGCTTTAGTTGAACACTCCGGTAAAAAAGGTTCTGCTTTTTGTCAAAAAGTCAGCCACCTTGAGTCAAGTGAAAATTTTCGTAAGCGCTGAGAATGGAAAGCAATTTCACGTGGCACCATCCTCAAGCTCACAGAACAGCTAAGTCGCTAAGCCATCCTCTCTTTGTATGAAACTTCGTTCCGTGTTTTCCGTGACTCACGAGTGTGGGAATCTTTCAGTTCTTTTTCTAATTCCTGGAGACAATCTTAGGCCGCAATCTAATTGGTCGGTATTTTTGCCGCAGATCGCATTGCACCTTGCGTTTAGGATCGTTGAATGAAAGTTGCAAATTTTCGTAAAAGTTTATCTCGTGGTTTTATATTATCCATGGGTTTGCTCTCGCTCCGCTTGCAAGGAAACCCGTTGAGGTCTACTTGTAACAAGTCTATGCATCCAGTTGTGTTTCGAGAAAGTGAGTTCTGGTTGTGTTTTTGGATTGCATTGTTAGAAAGTATCGAGTAAAGAACACACTACTCAGTATGGTGTTTTGTTTGCTATGTATCAGCGAAGAACAGTGGTGTTTTGCGTCGTAATATTTAACTCCTTTTAATTTTCATAGAATAAATTTTATGGAGCAGCGTGGTGTCTGCGATCGACTGAAGGAAATACCTCTGAAACGTCGAAAATCATGTGTAGGCACGCATCAAATCAACAAACTAGAAACACAACATGGAACATACACTATTGTTATTTGTTATGGAGTAGGAAAAAGGTACAGTCGATACAAATTACTTTGGAGTGAAACGACCCTTTTGGTTTCGTGACACGCTTCATTTTATGTATAAATCGGCAAAGTTTTTATCGTAATCGGAAACGGCAACTGGTGCCTACAGATCGGTACCGATTCCGAACAATCGGAAAAATTAATCGGGTCCGTTTCCCATGATCGGGTTCCCTACCGATATTTGGACGCGCTCCCTAAAAAGAAAGGCAAACTTGATGTCACTTAAGGAAAAACCGCCGTTTCCGTTTTTCATTTTGCACTAAGCATCACTTTTTAAAGACATATTTGTACGTACAATGTATTGACTTTTATACAGAAAAATTTTGAAAGGCCAGAAAGGTGTTACTCTGACACGTTTTGAGAAACCTTTACCATTATTCGGCGATCGATCAGATTTAAAGGGCACATTTTTACGCGCCCTAAAAAGTTGTTAGAAGAAAGTAGCGAGTATAAGTTATTTAGTCATACGGCGCCGGGACTTGACGGAACGCAAAGAGAGCGTTACAATCTATTAAATGGCATACGAGCGACTGCAGGCATCTCACGACATGTTGACTTTGGCTAAGAGCTAGTCTAATGTTATCAGATAACAAACCCATTAGATCCAATGGCAAGCTTGTTAGTGAATAACGGGATATAAACAGCTAATAACAGCTAATAATACTTCACCCATTATACCCAATCACAAGTTTGTTAGAGAATAACGGGATAATATGCTACATTCCACAAGTGTGAATTTGACCCGTGAGGTAAAAATCTATTTCATGACAAGTCAGTGCATCATTCTCGAGTACATACTGGAAGGCTGCACGCATATATGCACATTTGATCCATTAGCTGCCGTGAACTCATCTAAAACTCTTTTTGGTTTATTTATCATGTTTTTGAAAAACGTCAAAATTTTACCGTTTTCAAATAACCGATAGGCTTTTTAACCCAGCACCTACGAAACAGTGGAATGCTCAAGAATAGAACAAGAAAATCAGAAAATTACTTTATGATCTTTGAAGAAGCGTTGCTCATAACAAGCATGCAACTATCCAACGATCTCTCGATAATAGGTCAGTGATGCAATAGTTGTGAATAGGAAACAGAACAAATCAACACTGCCCAGAGGAAGTTTATCAGTTATCAAGTGACAATTGCTGACATTCCAGCCCATTCCTGCACGCAAATTTCTTAGACAGTACACTAACACATTTATTTCCTTAACTTAAAACGATCTTTACACTTTGATTTTTACACTTTATTTCACTTTGATTTAACGATGAAATCTGTTTAGAATGAAAAGAAAGGCAAACTTGACGTCACCTAAGGAAAAACTGCCGTTTCCGTTTTTCATTTTGCACTAAGCATCACTTTTTAAACACATATTTATACGTAAAATGTATTAACTTTTATACAGAAAGAAAAATTTTGAAAGGCCAGAAAGGTTTTACTCTGACACGTTTTGAGAAACCTTTTGTTTGACCATTATTCGGCGATCGATCAGATTTAAAGGGCACATTTTTACGCGCCCTAAAAAGTTGTTAGAAGAAAGTAGCGAGTATAAGTTATTTAGTCATACGGCGGCGGGACTTGGCGGAACGCAAAGAGAGCGTTACAATCTAATGGCATACGAGCGACTGCAGGCATCTCATGACATGTCGACTTTGAGATAACTATGAACGGCTTTGAATTCTTTCCATGTGCGAGAAAACAAAAAGTATGCAGACAGGACCAAAGCGGGAATATGTTATGGCGATAATGGCCGATAATCAAGGCACCATCAATTGTGATGAATGGTGAACAAATCTACTCTTTTTGCTGAACATTTTCTGACAGAGAGAAACGGAATTTTTCAGTGGCCTCAAAAAAGGGACTGGGATAAAGTAGCGCCAGAATTCATATTCTGTCGCAATGTAGAGGTCATTGACGGATAGTAAGAGTGTGCAAGTGAAAAACTTGACATCAATAAAAAGTAAATTTGGCGCTTTTTGTGGCAAATATTTTTATGTATTCCCTGTATTTGGAGTATTTTTGGCGTTTTCTGTGTGCATGTTGCGGAACTGAAGAAGACGCATAGGGCCGGTTAAAAATGAGCCGGTGTTGTAAGTGGCTGAATCTGTCCAGCCCGAATACGTATGAAATGTTCTTTACCATAGTTAAAGTCAAGCATGCACACTTATTTCTAGATTTATTTATCCATTAATAAAGGATTGTCGAGATTTATCGTGGTTGTAACCCGAGACAGCTGCACCTCCGATTTATGATTTTGTTAGCCCGGCATAGCATTATTTGAAAGACTCTGCAAAATATGTTGGCGCTTCAATTTTTACCCTTGGTTTATTGAAGTGTTTTTTCTTTTGTTTGTGAGTATGGCAATCTGACAATAATTTTTGTTGCAAGTTTTTAGAAAATTTTAAAGTGCTAAAATCGCAAAGTGGACCAGTAGAACAATTATGTACAATGATTTTTGTACCTATACTAATTTACACACTGATTCACGATAAGTCACGGTTTTACTTCCATTAGAATGCTTAATGACTACACGTTTTAATCAATGTGATCTATTGTGGCATATTTCACGCAAATAAAACATTTGATAAGAAAAGTTGTTAAAATTCGCGATTGGGGGAGAACAGAGATAAGCCGAAAAATGCTGCCCGCTTGACATTTCAAGCCTGAGTCACGGTTTTCTTATTGTCAGCAAATTCCATGCTCGGAAAAATAAAGTCTAAAATAATATGAAGTATACTTTAAATCATGCTTACTTGAATAAAACAATGTATATACAAAATTGATTAAACGCAAGAATACGGGAATATCAAATAGTGAAGAGTACAGCCAGAAAATGTTGATTAGCCGGTTGTTAAAGTTAACGAGAGCAGAAAGGGCTATTGTGTGCGTACCCACTCTCCCACATAAGCCGTCCTTTCATGTGAACATGGAGAATTACTAGGGAGATCTTTTGCTCTGGGGCAAGTCCAAAAATGAGAGCAGAAAGCGTAGTCCTCGAAATTTTTACTTCCGAAAGGTGTCGTAAACGAAACTCACTTCCGGAATTAAGAGAGACGAGAAAAAAGGCCATTGCTACTGCACCTTACATCGATTTTACACCAGTGGACGTGACGAGAATTAAAGTTGGCGCAAAGGTACCGACTTTGGCGCCAAGACGGATAACGAAAGTAATTGTTTATTATGAATGGGAATGAAAGGGTTTTGTGACAAGCATGACTCAAATAGAGAGTGCGTTTGTTTTGTAATACCGTTTAAAATGTTCAGCAAAAAGAGTAGATTTGTTCACCATTCATCACAATTGATGGTGCCTTGATTATCGGCCATTATCGCCATAACATATTCCCGCTTTGGTCCTGTCTGCATACTTTTTGTTTTCTCGCACATGGAAAGAATTCAAAGCCGTTCATAGTTATCTCAAAGTCGACATGTCATGAGATGCCTGCAGTCGCTCGTATGCCATCAGATTGTAACGCTCTCTTTGCGTTCCGCCAAGTCCCGCCGCCGTATGACTAAATAACTTATACTCGCTACTTTCTTCTAACAACTTTTTAGGGCGCGTAAAAATGTGCCCTTTAAATCTGATCGATCGCTGAATAGTGGTCAAACAAAAGGTTTCTCAAAACGTGTCAGAGTAAAACCTTTCTGGCCTTTCAAAATTTTTCTTTCTGTATAAAAGTTAATACATTTTACGTATAAATATGTGTTTAAAAAGTGATGCTTAGTGCAAAATGAAAAACGGAAACGGCAGTTTTTCCTTAGGTGACGGCAAGTTTGCCTTTCTTTTCATTCTAAACAGATTTCATCGTTAAATCAAGGTGAAATAAATGGAAGTGTAAAGATCGTTTTAACTTAAGAAAATAAATGTGTTAGTGTACTGTCTAAGAAATTTGCGTGCAGGAATGGGCTGGAATGTCAGCAATTGTCACTTGATAACTGATAAACTTCCTCTGGGCAGTGTTGATTTGTTCTGTTTCCTATTCACAACTATTGTATCACTGACCTATTATCGAGAGATCGTTGGATAGTTGCATGCTTGTTATGAGCTACGCTTCTTCAAAGATCATAAAGTAATTTTCTGATTTTCTTGTTCTATTCTTGAACATTCCACTGTTTCGTAGGTGCTGGGTTAAAAAGCCTATCGGTTATTTGAAAACGGCAAAATTTTGACGTTTTTCAAAAACGTGATAAATAAACCAAAAAGAGTTTTAGATGAGTTCACGGCAGCTAGTGGATCAAATGTGCATATATGCGTGCAGCCTTCCAGTATGTACTCGAGAATGATGCACTGACTTGTCATGAAATAGATTTTTACCTCACGGGTCAAATTCACACTTGTGGAATGTAGCATATTATCCCGTTATTCTCTAACAAACTTGTGATTGGGTATAATGGGTGAAGTATTATTAGCTGTTATTAGCTGTTATCCCGTTATTCACTAACAAGCTTGCCATTGGATCTAATGGGTTTGTTATCTGATAACATTAGACTAGCTCTTAGCCTAAGATAATCTTGATCCTGATTGGCTCTAATGGCTGATAACAGGCAATAACACCTAACAGCAATTAGTCCCAATTATATTGAACGAGTCCCAATTAAATTGAACGGGTGTTTATTGTCACCGTTGTTACTGTTGTCACTGTTGTCACTTTTTTTACCGTTGTCACCATTGTCACGGCTGCCACCATTGTCACAGTTGTCATTGTTGTCACTGTTGTCCCCGTTGTCACACTTGTCACTTTTGTCACTGTTGTCACCATTGTCACTTTTGTCTCTGTTTTTATTGTTGTCACTGTTGTTACTGTTGTCACCGCTTTCACCGTTTTCTTCGTGATCACCGTTGTCAGTGTTGTCGGTGTTGTCATTGTTGTCACTGTTGTCACTGTTGTCACCGTTGTCACTGTTGTAACCGTTGCCACTGTTGTCACCGTTCTCACTGTTGTCACGGTTGCCACTGTTGTCACAGTTGTCACTATTGTCACTGTTGTCACTGTTGTCACCATTGTCACTTTTGTCACTGTTTTCACCGTTGTCACTCTTGTCACTGTTGTTACTGTTGTCACCGTTGTCACCGTTGTCACTTTTGTCACTGTTGTCACCATTGTCAACGTTGTCATCGTTGTCACCGTTGTCACTGTTTTAACCGTTGTCACTGTTGTCACTGTTGTTACTGTTGTCACCGTTGTCACCGTTGTCACCGTTGTCACTTTTGTCACTGTTGTCACCATTGTCACCGTTGTCACCGTTGTCACTGTTGTTACTGTTGTCACCGTTGTCACCGTTGTCACCGTTTTCACTTTTTTCACTGTTGTCACCATTGTCACCGTTGTCATCGTTGTCACCGTTGTCACTGTCGTGACCGTTGTCACCGTTGTTACTGTTGTCACCATTGTCACTGTTGTCACCATTGTCACTTTTGTCTCTGTCACCGTTGTTACTGTTGTCACTGTTGTCACTTTTTTTACCGTTGTCACCATTGTCACGGCTGCCACCATTGTCACAGTTGTCATTGTTGTCACTGTTGTCCCCGTTGTCACACTTGTCACTTTTGTCACTGTTGTCACCATTGTCACTTTTGTCTCTCTTTTTATTGTTGTCAGTGTTGTCACTGTTTTTACTGTTCTCACCGCTTTCACCGTTGTCTTCGTGATCACCGTTGTCAGTGATATCGGTGTTGTCATCGTTGTCACTGTTGTCACCGTTGTCACCGTTGTCACTGTTGTAACCGTTGCCACTGTTGTCACCGTTCTCACTTTTGTCACGGTTGCCACTGTTGTCACAGTTGTCACTGTTGTCAATGTTGTCACCGTTGTAACCGTTGTTACTGTTGTCACCATTGTCACTGTTGTCACCGTTGTCACTGTTGAAACTTTTGCCACCGTTTTACTGTTGTCACTATTGTCACCGTTGTTAGCGTCGTCAATGTTGTCACTGTTTTTACCGTTCTCACCGTTGTCACTGTTGTCACTGTTGTTACAGTGATCACTGTTGTCACTGTTCTCATTTTTGTCACTGAGGTCACCAATGCCACCTTTGTCAGTGTTGTCGGTGTTGTCACTGTTGTCACTGTTGTCACCGTTCTCACCATTGTCAACGTTTTCAGTTTTGTCACCGTTGTCAGTGTTGTCAGTGTTGTCACTGTTGTCACCGTTGTCACCGTTGCCACTGTTGTCACAATTTCCACTGTTGTCACTGTTGTCCCCGTTGTCATCGTTGTCACAGTTGTTACTGTTGTCGCCATTGTCACCGTCGTCACCGTTATCACCGTTGTCAGTGTTGTCGGTGTTGTCATCGTTGTCACTGTTGTCACCGTTGTCACCGTTGTCACTGTTGTAACCGTTGCCACTGTTGTCACCGTTCTCACTTTTGTCACGGTTGCCACTGTTGTCACAGTTGTCACTGTTGTCAATGTTGTCACCGTTGTAACCGTTGTTACTGTTGTCACCATTGTCACTGTTGTCACCGTTGTCACTGTTGAAACTTTTGCCACCGTTTTACCGTTGTCACTATTGTCACCGTTGTTAGCGTCGTCAATGTTGTCACTGTTTTTACCGTTCTCACCGTTGTCACTGTTGTCACTGTTGTTACAGTGATCACTGTTGTCACTGTTCTCATTTTTGTCACTGAGGTCACCAATGCCACCTTTGTCAGTGTTGTCGGTGTTGTCACTGTTGTCACTGTTGTCACCGTTCTCACCATTGTCAACGTTTTCAGTGTTGTCACCGTTGTCAGTGTTGTCAGTGTTGTCACTGTTGTCACCGTTGTCACCGTTGCCACTGTTGTCACAATTTCCACTGTTGTCACTGTTGTCCCCGTTGTCATCGTTGTCACAGTTGTTACTGTTGTCGCCATTGTCACCGTCGTCACCGTTATCACCGTTGTCAGTGTTGTCGGTGTTGTCATTGTTGTCACTGTTGTCACCGTTGTCACTGTTGTCACTGTTGTCAATTTAGTCACTGTTGTTATCGTTTTCACCGATGTCACCGTTGTCAGTGTTGCCACTGTTGTCACTGTTGTCACTGTTGTCACCGTTCTCACCATTGTCAACGTTTTCAGTGTTGTCACCGTTGTCAGTGTTGTCAGTGTTGTCACTGTTGTCACCGTTGTCACCGTTGCCACTGTTGTCACAATTTCCACTGTTGTCACTGTTGTCCCCGTTGTCATCGTTGTCACAGTTGTTACTGTTGTCACTTTTGTCACTGTTGTCACCGTTGTCACCGTTGTCACCGTTGTCACCGTTGTCACCGTTGTTACTGTTGTCACCATTGTGACTGTTGTCACCGTTGTCACTGTTGACACTTTTGCCACCGTTTCACTGTTGTCACTATTGTCACCGTTGTTAGCGTTGTCAATGTTGTCACTGTTTTTACCGTTCTCACTTTTGACACCATTGTCACTGTTGTCACCGTTGTCACTGTTGTCACTGTTGTTACCGTTATCAATGTTGTCACTGTTCTCACTTTTGTCACTGTTGTCACCAATGCCACCATTGTCACTGTTGTCACTGTTGTCACTTTTGTCACTGTTGTCAGTGTTGTCACCGTTGTCACCTTTGCCACCGTTGTTACAGTTCTAACTGTTGTCACTGTTTTCACCTTTGTCACTGTTGTCACTGTTTTCACTGTTGTTACCGTTGTAATCGTTGTCACCATTGTAACTGTTGTAACTGTTGTCAGTGTTGTCACCATTGTCACCTTTGTCACTGTTGTCACTGTTGCTACCGTTGTTATTGTTGTAACCGTTGTCACCGTTGTCACTTTTGTCACTGTTGTTACCGTTTTCACCGATGTCCCCGTTGTCAGTGTTGTCACTGTTGTCACGGTTTTTACCCTTGTCACCATTGTCACCTTTGTCACACTTTTCAATGTTGTCACTGGTGTCACCATTTTCACCCTTGTCACCGTTGTCAATGTTGTTACCTTTGTCACAGTTGTCACCATTGTCACCGTTCACTGTTGTCACCATTGTTACTGTTGTCACTGTTTTTACCGTTGCCACCGTTGTCACCTTGTCACCGTCTTTCACTGTTGTCACTGTTGTCACTGTTTTCACTGTTGTCACTGGTTTGACCGTTGTCACTGTTGTCACTGTTAACACTGTTGTCACTGTTGTCACCGTTTTCACTATTGTCAACTTTGTCACCGTTGTTAGTGTTGTCGGTGTTGTCGGTGTTGGGACTGTTGTGACTGTTGGCAACGTTTTCACTGTTGCCACTGTTTTTTCCATTGTTACCGTTGTCACCGTTGTCAAAGTTGTCCCTTTTGACACCATTGCTATGTTCGTAACTGTTGTCACTGTTGTTACCGTTGTCACCGTTGTCGCCGTTGTCAACGTTGTCACCGTTGTCACCGTTGTCACTGTTGTCACCGTTTTCACTGTTGTCACTGTTGGCACCATTGTCACTGTTGTCACCGTTGTTAGTGTTGTCGGTGTGGTCACTGTTGTGACTGTTGTCCGTTTTTTTTCCGTCTTCACTGTTGAAACTGTTGTCACCGTTGTCGCTGAGGTCACCGTTGTCACTGTTGTCACTGTTGTCACTGTTGTCACTGTTGTCACTGTTGTCACTGCTGTAACCGTTGTCAGTGTTGTCACTGATGTCACCGTTGTCACTGTTGTCAGTGGTGTTACCGTTGTCAGAGTTGTCGGTGTTGTCACTGTTGTCACCGTTGTCAGTGGTGTCACCGTTGTCACTGTTTTCACTGTTGTTACCGTTGTCACCGTTGTGACCATTGTAACTGTTGTCACTGTTGTTACCGTTCTTATTGTTGTAACCATTGTCACCGTTGTCACTGTTGTCACCGTTGTGACTGTTGACACTGTTGCCACCATTGTCAGTGTTGTTACTATTGTCACCGTTGTCACTGTTGTCTTTGTTGTCACTTTTTTTACCGTTGTCACCGTTGTCACGGTTGCCACCATTGTCACAGTTGTCACTGTTGTCACTGTTGTCCCCGTTGTCACACTTGTCACTTTTGTCACTGTTTTTATTGTTGTCACTGCTGTCACTGTTGTTACTGTTGTCACTGCTTTCGCCGTTGTCTTCGTGATCACCGTTGTCAGTGTTGTCGGTGTTTTCATTGTTGTCACTGTTGTCACTGTTGTCACTGTTGTCACTGTTGTCACCGTTGTCACTCTTGTAACCGTTGCCACTGTTGTCACCGTTGTCACTGTTGTCACGGTTGCCACTTTTGTCACAGTTGTCACTGTTGTCACTGTTGTCACCGTTGTCACCGTTGTCACAGTTGTCACTGTTGTCACTGTTGTCACCATTGTCACTTTTGTCACTGTTTTCACCGTTGTGACTGTTGTCACTGTTGTTACTGTTCTCACCGTTGTCACTGTTGTCACCGTTGTCACTTTTGCCACTGTTGTCACCATTGTCACCGTTGTCACCGTTGTCACCGTTGTCTCTGTTGTCACCGTTGTAACCGTTGTTACTGTTGTCACCATTGTCACTGTTGTCACCGTTGTCACTGTTGAAACTTTTGCCACCGTTTTACCGTTGTCACTATTGTCACCGTTGTTAGCGTCGTCAATGTTGTCACTGTTTTTACCGTTCTCACCGTTGTCACTGTTGTCACTGTTGTTACCGTGATCACTGTTGTCACTGTTCTCATTTTTGTCACTGAGGTGACCAATGCCACCTTTGTCAGTGTTGTCGGTGTTGTCACTGTTGTGACTGTTGTCACCGTTCTCACCATTGTCAACGTTTTCAGTGTTGTCACCGTTGTCAGTGTTGTCACTGTTGTCACTGTTGTCACCGTTGTCACCGTTGCCACTGTTGTCACAATTTCCACTGTTGTCACTGTTGTCCCCGTTGTCATCGTTGTCACAGTTGTTACTGTTGTCACCATTGTCACCGTTGTCACCGTTATCACCGTTGTCAGTGTTGTCGGTGTTGTCATTGTTGTCACTGTTGTCACCGTTGTCACTGTTGTCACTGTTGTCAATTTAGTCACTGTTGTTATCGTTTTCACCGATGTCACCGTTGTCAGTGTTGCCACTGTTGTCACTGTTGTTTCTGTTTTTACCCTTGTCACTGTTTTCACCATTGTCACTTTTGTCACTGTTTTTATTGTTGTCACTGTTGTCACTGTTGTTACTGTTGTCACCGCTTTCACCTTTGTCTTCGTGATCACCTTTTTCAGTGTTGTCGGTGTTGTCATTGCTTTCACTGTTGTCACCGTTGTCACTGTTGTAGCCGTTGCCACTGTTGTCACCGTTGTGACTCTTGTCACGGTTGCCACCATTGTCACAGTTGTCACTGTTGTTACCGTTGTCACAGTTGTCACTGTTGTCACTGTTGTCACCATTGTCACTTTTGTCACTGTTTTCACCATTGTCACTGTTGTCACTGTGGTTACTGTTGTCACCGTTGTCACCGTTGTCACCGTTGTCACCGTTGTTACTGTTGTCACCATTGTGACTGTTTTCACCGTTGTCACTGTTGACACTTTTGCCACCCTTTCACCGTTGTCACTATTGTCACCGTTGTTAGCGTTGTCAATGTTGTCACTGTTTTTACCGTTCTCACTTTTGACACCATTGTCACTGTTGTCACCGTTGTCACTGTTGTCACTGTTGTCACTGTTCTCACTTTTGTCACTGTTGTCACCAATGCCACCATTGTCAGTGTTGTCGGTGTTGTCACTGTTGTCACTGTTGTCACTGTTTTCACTTTTGTCACTGTTGTCATTGTTGTCACCGTTGTCACCTTTGCCACCGTTGTTACAGTTCTAACTGTTGTCACTGTTTTCACTGTTGTTACCGTTGTAATCGTTGTGACCATTGTAACTGTTGTAACTGTTGTCAGTGTTGTCACCATTGTCACCTTTGTCACTGTTGTCACTGTTGTTACCGTTGTTATTGTTGTAACCGTTGTCACCGTTGTCACTTTTGTCACTGTTGTTACCGTTTTCACCGATGTCACCGTTGTCAGTGTTGTCACTGTTGTCACTGTTTTTACCCTTGTCACCATTGTCACCGTTGTCACACTTTTCAATGTTGTCACTGTTGTCACTGGTGTCACCATTTTCACCCTTGTCACCGTTGTCAATGTTGTTACCTTTGTCACAGTTGTCACCATTGTCACCGTTTACTGTTGTCACCGTTGTTACTGTTGTCACTGTTGTTACCGTTGCCACCGTTGTCACCTTGTCACCGTCTTTCACTGTTGTCACTGTTGTCACTGTTTTCACTGTTGTCACTGGTTTGACCGTTGTCACTGTTGTCACTGTTGTCACCGTTTTCACTATTGTCAACTTTGTCACCGTTGTTAGTGTTGTCGGTGTTGTCGGTGTTGGGACTGTTGTGACTGTTGGCAACGTTTTCACTGTTGCCACTGTTTTTTCCATTGTTACCGTTGTCACCGTTGTCAAAGTTGTCCCTTTTGACACCATTGCTATGTTCGTAACTGTTGTCACTGTTGTTACCGTTGTCACCGTTGTCGCCGTTGTCAACGTTGTCACCGTTGTCACCGTTGTCACTGTTGTCATTGTTCTCACCGTTGTCACCGTTGTCACTGTTGTCACTGTTGGCACCATTGTCACTGTTGTCACCGTTGTTAGTGTTGTCGGTGTGGTCACTGTTGTGACTGTTGTCCCTTTTTTTTCCGTCTTCACTGTTGAAACTGTTGTCACCATTGTCACTGAGGTCACCGTTGTCACTGTTGTCACTGTTGTCAGTGTTGTCACTGCTGTCACCGTTGTCAGTGTTGTCACTGATGTCACCGTTGTCACTGTTGTCAGTGGTGTTACCGTTGTCAGAGTTGTCGGTGGTGTCACCGTTGTCACTGTTTTCACTGTTGTTACCGTTGTCACCGTTGTGACCATTGTAACTGTTGTCACTGTTGTTACCGTTCTTATTGTTGTACCGTTGTCACCGTTGTCACTGTTGTCACCGTTGTGACTGTTGACACTGTTGCGACCATTGTCACCGTTGTTACTATTGTCACCGTTGTCACTGTTGTCTTTGTTGTCACTTTTTTTACCGTTGTCACCGTTGTCACG